TCTACAGGTTGCTTTTTTAAACTTCCCAAACCTAATTACTTTGTATTCACCAATTATCCCCATTTCTCTTTATGTTTCAATTGAGGTAGGGATCACACTGTTACAGTATTTGACCTGCTCAAGGGTGGATCACAAATAGTTCCTTTATATTAATAGTGCCGTGAGAAAAAATTGGATGAGGTATGCATCGGTTTTGAACAAATAATTTTTTATTTCTGGAATCAGATTTGGGTTCTTACAGGGGACAAGATGGAAACAACCACTAATATAGCTTATGGTTAGTATTTAAAAGAGTTTTGGCATCATTTAAAAAAAAAAAAAATTCTTACTATAGATATGTTGTTTCCTTATTTATTTATTTATTAGTAACAACTTAAATCATACTTCTCTGTTTTTCAGAAACTGGTGAAATTAGAGAAGTAGAAAGCAGAGTAAGGAGCTTTCTTGTCTGGTTTGATTTTTCATGTAAATACATCAAAATCATTTTTCAGAGCGTTCAATATGTTAAAGAGAAATTTAGGGAACACAATTCCAGCCACATCCCTCTCACATGCCCCACATGCAGGTATGTGTGAGGGTTGTGGTTGGAGTTGTGTCTCTAGAATTATTGTAGTTTAAAAGTTGCTTTACATTCTATGGCCAGGGTGACCAAGTGGAGATTGCACGCTTTACAAGAGATGTAGTGAAAAGTCAGCTAAACAAGTGCCACGAGGAAGCAAAAACCTCTTTTCTTACTGTAGCTGGACCAAAATTGACTCTTGTGATAGATGGGAAGTGTTTGATGTATGCACTAGACCCGAGTTTAAGAGTAATACTACTGAATTTGAGCTTGAATTGTAGTTCAGTAGTTTGCTGCTGAGTTTCTCCTTTACAGAAAGCACAGGTAAGGATTGTCATTGTGGTCCACCTGATATATATGAGTGAAATATGTTTTGAAGTACATGGAGGCAGCTTTGGGGCATCCAAAATCTGAAAGTGTTGATAAAGTTCTGAAGTATTTTGAGGAAGAGAAAAATGTTGATGGTGCTGAAGAGTTATGCAAGATGTTGAAGAAGGTTAATCGTCTTGATTCCAAGGCCTATGATTCTTTGCTTTGAACATATATTGCTGCTGGAAAACCAGCACCTGATATGCGGATGAGGATAGAGGCAGATGGTATTGAAGTGAATAGTGAGTTTGAGAATTTGCTTGAAATGGTTTGCCCCAAATGAGTTGGGGAGTCCTCTAGTATCCCTGACAAAGCAAACAGTTTTTAGTAGTTTCATTCAATGCGGATGCTAAAAGTTTTTGTCATGTATAACAGTTACATTGTGATACATTATTTTTTTTCTTTTTTAACAGGAAAGTACATTCACAATTTGACCAGTTTCATTTTCTGGGTAAACAGAAGGGAAACTAATCAGATTCCAACACAACTATAGAAATGCTTTCTAGTGGTGACCAAGAGCTTTAGGAGTCTTGTATGTCTTTTAAGCCTTGTAAATTTTGACATAGCCTCAAGGTTGTGAGAGAGTTTCTTTTGGATTGTTATGTTTTCTTTCGTATGATTCGATGAAGAGATTTGTTGCCTAATGCATTTTCATCATGTGACTCTTGAGGATGTCTTGTGCATCATTGTATATCTTTATTGTTTGGTATATTAACCTTCTACTTACCAAAAGAAACAAAAATATCAGACAGTTCCAGAACAAGAACTCAGAAGTAGAAACTTCCTATGCATAGATTAATCTGAAACAGGGACCGCAATAGGAAGTTGGTGACCTAATTCATCAGGAATTATAAGCAAGAATGCACCAGGTATTTTATCCAGCAAACCAACAGAAGAATGTCTCTTAATCCAAAATGAAACGACGTCATTTACCATAAAGGAAGCACATTGACTGTAAAGATTTAGTACAAAGGGAGAGGGAAAAAAAATTTGAGAGAGAGAGAGAGAGAGAGAGAGAGATAGCAAAAACCAGAGTATGTTACAAAAGAATTTTATCACCCTACCTTGTCTACAGTCTTGATCTCAAGAACATACTGTATTTCATGTCCACTATAAAGCAATGTGTATCATCAAGGTTTAAATAAAAAAACCATATTACAAAATAGAATTGGCAAGCTTTTCTTTGTATCACAAGCAGGAAAAAAATAAAAAATTCCAAAGACTTCAATCCATATACGAAAACACCCCAGAACAGAAGCAAAAGAAATGCTTTACTTCCCATAAACCTCTTGCTTGCTTGGTGATTATCAGCACGTTGGCAGCTAAGATGGGGAAACCATGCCATTGAAAGAAGCTTTAAACTGATAAAACCTCCTTCAAACCTTCTCTTTCAGAGTCACATTGATGATTCCTATTGGAGATTTAGGTCGATAATGTTCATCCGTATCCACCTCTTCAATTTCCTGGTAAGCACATTGCAGGACATGCGTTCAAACTTCAATAAAGAATATGATTTAATGACTTGAAAACTAAAAGCATGACATATCTTTTCCCCCATTAACTTAACATGATCCAACTGGCTTGACATAGTGCCATTTGACTATATTAACGACGAATGCAAGCATCTTTTTTTTTTTTTTTTTGTGGCCCAATGTAATGGGCTAAGACGATTGGGGAGCCACCACCACACCACCAAAAAAAACTTTACTAGTTTATTGAGATAACAATCTCAACTTAATATATAAAAGATTTATATAACAACAAATGTGCTATAGCCTCCTTTTTTTCAGATCGGATACAGTCATTAGAGTACTACAAGCAGCTGCCTTGTGTTGAATCATCATGAAACCATGTCAATTTATCAACATAAAAGGAGATGGTCCTATTACATTGTCTCAAGAATTTGGTAGTCTCAATCCTATGATACAATCATTCATTGCCAAAACAAATAAAAATTCCCATCATATTCTTCATGAAAAAGTTTGAGAATAAATATGATCATGGTTCATATGTCCAGAAAGAACAGACTCTCAATTGCTCCTAGCATGCAACAACTTTAAATAAAACATCCACATGATCATAGTTGACAAAAATCAGAGAGAGATAGAGCGAAAGGCTTATAACCTGAACAACATCCTCTCCCTTAATGACCCGCCCAAACACAATCAGCTTCTCATTTAGATCAGGGATTGGTGCAGTCGTAATAAAAAGCTCGAATCCCTCTTTGTCATGTTTAGCCTTTGTAGTACCAAGCATAAACGCCTCATGCTTCATGCTGGATGAAAATCACAAATTCAGTAACCAGGATAGAATAAGAAACTATAGAGGTAAAAAGGGAACTCCACAGGTTGGGTCAACAAGAGGGCAAACCTTGTTTCAAGTTGGCTGTTATGCTTTACTTTCAAAGTCCAATCGTCTGTAGCTCCAGGTATATCAGAATTACCTCCTTGAATCACAAAGTTCTTTATTACATGGTGAAAAGGCATCCCCTTGAAGTGCCCCCTCCGACTAAAAAATCGTTTCAACTTAAAACTTCAGTATATGTACAAAGTCAAAAATTATCCCCCCAGGTGGAAGGCTTGCGTGGAGACTGCCTACAAGCCTCCTTTTTTTCAGATCGGATACAGTCATTAGAGTACTACAAGTATCTGCCTTGTGTTGAATCATCATGAATCCATGTCAATTTATCAGCATAAAAGGAGATGGTCCTATAACATTGTCTCAAGAATTTGGTAGTCTCAATCCTATGATACAATCATTCATTGCCAAAACAAATAAAAATTCCCATCATATTCTTCATGAAAAAGTTTGAGAATAAATATGATCATGGTTCATATGCCCAGAAAGAACAGACTCTCAATTGCTCCTAGCATGCACCAACTTTAAATAAAGCATCCACATGATCATAGTTCACAAAAATCAGAGAGAGATAGAGCAAAAGGCTTATAACCTGAACAACATCCTCTCCCTTAATGACCCGCCCAAACACAATCAGCTTCTCATTTAGATCAGGGATTGGTGCAGTCATAATAAAAAGCTCGAATCCCTCTTTGTCATGTTTAGCCTTTGTAGTACCAAGCATAAACGCCTCATGCTTCATGCTGGATGAAAATCACAAATTCAGTAACTAGGATAGAATAAGACACTATAGAGGTAAAAAGGGAACTCCACAGGTTGGGTCAACAAGAGGGCAAACCTTGTTTCAAGTTGGCTGTTATGCTTCACTTTCAAAGTCCAATCGTCTGTAGCTCCAGGTATATCAGAATTACCTCCTTGAATCACAAAGTCCTTTATTACATGGTGAAAAGGCATCCCCTTGAAGTGCCCCCTCTGACTAAAAAATCGTTTCAACTTAAAACTTCAGTATATGTACAAAGTCAAAAATTATCCCCCCAGGTGGAAGGCTTGCGTGGAGACTGCCTACACCATATTCAAGTGATGTATTACATAAAGATGATGCACTAAGCATATGCAATAATTGAACTGCTTCTTTAGTGCAAAGATCAAATTGATGATATGTGTTTTGATTATACACTTACAAGCATCAGATTGCCCAACCAAATTAAAGTTTCCATAGCTTTGCTTGACTGAAGGCAAAGCTTGAGGTTCAAGTAAAATGATAGATTCCAAAAAAATTATGTGATGAAATGTTGGAGAAGCATAAAGACCACAAAAACACTAAACCCTCTCATCTCACTGCTGTTAATGTGTCTAAAGAACCACTCAAGTGATTAACTATGTACAAGGAAGAAAGTGCAGTAAGCAAATAAGTAAATAAGGATTTGGGAAACCAACAAGGTCAGCCATGTGAACAATGAAAATAAGAATCCATAACAACGGATCGAAATATAATAGAGTTGAGTCCAGTACCCACCATAAGTCAATAAATGCATCAACCACCTTAGGAGAGCCTTCTTTGTATAACTCGATTGTTATTGACCCTTTTGAGGTATTTAAAATCTGTTAAAACAGGAAAAACAAAAAAATATACAAGTATATCAATAGACAATAAACAATAAAATTTTGAGAAGACTCTCCAAAAGAACTGACACCCCTGCATGTCCCAATAAAAAGAAAAAAGATAAATGGACATTATGCGAAAACAACAAACAGAGAAATGGAGAACTAAATGAAACTTTATTAACAAAACAGTAGCTCCCTGCCACATATTGGTATCTAAACTAAAGCCTGTAGCATCCTCTGAACTGACCAATAAGTGAAATGATTTCTTAGGAGCAGATTAAATCTAAAAGCAATACCTAATATAGTGGATCGACATTTAAAATAAGAACAAAATAAAAGCAATTTACAATGACTAGGATATAAAGAAACTCACAACATATCCGGGGACATCAGATTTCTTTCCATCTGCAAAAGCATCGTCACGCTGCAGCACACACAGAACCAAATACGAAGAGAAAGAATAAAGAAATAGTGATGGTCACTTGAAAGGAATTTGTTCAAACCTCAATAGCATTAACACTGTATAATAGACAAACACAAACACACACACACAAAGTAAGATAAACTTAATAAATCTTTAATTGTCATTATAAGTCGTCATTATAACTTAAAAGGCAAAGAGAGAAGAAGATATCAGCAATTTGTAAGTCTTTCTAATCAATAACCAACACTCATGCTCGCGAAAGGTACAACAACAACAACAATACACAGGTAACAACATTATCCAGAAAAGAGTACCTCAATAACTGATAGCCGATGCTCTGTTTGAATTATTGACCTAAGCACAAGTTAGCAGATAAAAGTTAAAAGCCATATAAAGCCCTCTTTGGTCTATAAAATAATGATTATTTCAAGTGGTTCTATTTTGTTACTAAATAAATGCAGATACCACTGCAACAGACCTCCTGCAATATTTCAAAACACCAGGTCCAGGATTAAATTAAAATTCTTTTTATCACTTATTAAATACATGGGTTGTTGCTAAATTTAGAATTCAGAAATCATTCCAAGAAAACCGATATAGGTCTTTCACCAAACCCACAAGATTCAAGACATATGAAGAATAATCAAACTAAAAATTAAATTTGGTTAACAAGATACAAGGTGTCATGCTAGTCCCTTTGAATCCCAATTTATCAAAATAACAAGTATTTATTCATCAAAGAAGATTCCAACAAACCTCTGAATCCAATGTCTGTAACTAGCAAACAGGAAAAACACCATCACAACTATAATTAAGCTATATAAAATAACTGTAGTGGCACCGATATGACTTGGACCCTTCTTCTTCTTGCTTTGTTGTAGCAGAGCTTGAGGTTTAATCCTTGCCATGATGTATAAGCCTCAACTCCCAAGGACTACAAAATCCCAGGATCCAGCACTCAGTTCCAAATCTATATAACCAAACACCATTTAAAGGAACTCCCTAACATATAAATCAAATAGCCAGGTTTTGGATCCAATCTGAACTTTCATAGAACTTCATTGGTATCTTTGAATAAGAAACACACACAATAACCAGAATTCAAGAGGGTCCAAAGTTAGAGATACATAGATAAGTGAGAAAAATAAAAACTTCGGATTTTTTTTTTTTGAAGTTTGATCTACAACCTCACACTAACAATCGATTAGACAGCTATGAAGTAACAAAAAATTACATAGAAAAGTAAATATTCATTCTTTACGATTACGGTTTTGAAGTCAAAGCCCCAATGGCACAATTATTTTGGGTGGCTATGGATATTAATTTTGACTAATAAAAAAAAATTAATAACAGATATTCAATGGTTAGGGTTTTGAAATCAAAGCACCAATGGCACATTTAGATGAAGCTTAGAGTTAGCAACGAACCTGAACTATGGAAAAGAGTTCTTGGAAAAATTCGATTCGACTGGAAGGGAAGGGAAAAGACGATGACTAGGTCTTTGGTCACAAACCCATGGTGGAGACGTCCAGAGAGTGAGAGCTTGTGAAGAAGATGTCGACATGGCTGAAGCCCGGATCGCCGACGAGGCTGGTGAACCTTGGAAGCTTCGGCTATGGCGGAAGAGAAGAGGGAAGAGAAGAGGGAGGAGAAGAGCCAACAAGAGGGCCAACACGACTGATTCAATTTTGTTTCCCTTCTAACCGGCTACACCGGTTGCCTATTTGAGAGTTTAATTATTTAAGTAATTTTTTATGACCTGATTATGAGATAGTATGGTATAAATAAATAACTGAATATAATTAAGTTATGAGTTAATATGATAATGGTTATGACTAATATGGTATTGATTATTGTTAATCATATTATTTAATTTTGATGATGTCTAAAATATTATTTGTAACAATTTGGATTTTTTTAATATACATATTATTTGACACAAAATACTATCTTTTTAAAAATATATATATTTTTTAAATATTATAATAAAAATATTTTTGAAAACTTTACTATTCACTTTTTAAAAATTTAGGTTGATCACTATTCACTTTTTGACAAAATTAAAATAAAAATATTTTTGAAAACTTTACTATTCACTTTTTGAAAATTTAGGCTGATCACTATTCACTTTTTGACAAAATTAAAATTGATTAAAAATATTGATTGGTTGTATTATTGGTGAATTCCGTGGAATTCAGGCCTGAAGCTTTGGTGGATTCCGGGGTGACTCATCGTCGTAATTCGACATCGGCGTTGTGGAATCAACGTTGGGCAAGACAATTCCGAGGTGAAGACGGGGCTAGAAGAGGCACATAGGGGTCGGTTTGATTCGGACATGGATTCGCTAGGTAATTGAGAGTACACTTGTGTAATTCCTTTTATGTCTTCTTAGTGGATTGTTTTGTGGCTGTTGCCTGTAAGCGATGACATCAGGAGCGTGCTTATGTAAGCGATGACATCAGGAGCGTGCTTATGTAAGCGATGACATCAGGAGCGTGCTTATGTAAGCGATGACATCAGGAGCGTGCTTATGTAAGCGATGACATCAGGAGCGTGCTTATGTAAGCGATGACATCAGGAGCGTGCTTATGTAAGCGATGACATCAGGAGCGTGCTTATGTAAGCGATGACATCAGGAGCGTGCTTATGTAAGCGATGACATCAGGAGCGTGCTTATGTAAGCGATGACGTCAGGAGCGTGCTTATGTAAGCCATGACGTCAGCAAGGAGTGTCCAACGGGTATATTTTTGTGTATAAATAGAAGTGTTGTGTGTGGAGAAAATATTAAGAACTTGAAGAGAAAATTTTCTGTGAGCTCCAAATTGTATTCTTCTCTTTCACTTTCAGATCTAAGTCTAGCTTTTGTTCTTACACTTTCATATCTACTCTTTGTGAGAGAATTATTGTAAAAGTGGGTTCAATTACCACTTATTCTTATTCCTCATTTTTGTGAGAGATTTTGTAAGAGTAAGGCATTTATTGTTGAGTGAGGCTCAATTGATAAGAGTAAGTCCTGTGCCAAATCCACAAGCTTGGTGGTATATTTATTCAATTGATAGTAAAGAAATTCTCAAGGAGGTTCCTTGGGGAGTGGACGTAGGCCTGGCGTGCCGAACCACTATAAATCGCAGTGTTTGATTTTCTCTCTCTATCTCTTCTACTTTTATATTGATAATTATTATTCTGTTTTTTTTTTTTATTTATTAAAATTCTGAATATTGTGTTATTTTTAATATTGTGAAATTTTTAATAACCCAATTCACCCCCCCTCTTGGGTTGCCTATCTGGGATAACAATTATGACATAAAATCATATAAGTTCATAACTAAATGTATGGTACATCTAAATGTACCATAGCATCACCCTTTTCTTCATACCCCTTCTTTCACCAATTCCTCATTTGCTTTTGGTCACAACTTACAATCTTCAACTACTACTCATTTGCCGAGCTTCTTCAAACTGTTTGTTTTTGATGAGTTTCTGACTTTTCAGATCCTTTACAATTCCAAAGTTGTTTGAAGTTTGCAGAGTTTAATGCTATTTTTGATCTCTGTATTGCTTCGTTTCTTACCTTTCATAAATTTTATCTGCCAAAGTTATTCCAAGTTTGTAGAGGTTCTGCCTGTTCTTGATCCGTGTATTGCTTCATTTTGACTCAATTTCTCACCTTTACCACCAAAGTCTGTTCCAAGTTTGTAGAGATTCTTCAGTCTGTTCTCGATATTTGTGTTGGTTGGTTTCATTAACCTTCCTTCTTTCAGAACAAACACCATGGATGTGTTTGGGATCTTTATCTCTCCATTCGTACAAGCTATGGTTGATAAATTGTCCTCTTATTTTAGCAACTTAGTGAGCACAGCCGACGTTGGCACTGGCATCTAGAATCTGAAGAATTCATTAGAGGATTTAGAGACTTTGTTGGTTGATGCAGAGAACAAACAAGTGTACGACAAGGTTATCAAAAAGTGGCTAGAAGAGGTTCAACCTTTGGCATATGATGCAGATGACTTATTGGATGATTTTGCCATTGAAGCTCTCAAAAGGAAGCTAATGGCGGAGGAGACAACGATGGGAAGAACACTAGCTAACTTTCCACGTCTCTCTTCTATTGTTCCATTCAATTTAAAAACTGGGTCAAAGCTAAATGAGATTACTAGTCAATTACAAGAAGTTGCTACAAAAGGAAAAGATCTTGGTTTGGGGCATTTCCCTAAATAAGCCAAAATAATAAGGGAATTCCCAAACTAAGCCTAGTTTTGAAAGAATTCCCAAAATGAGCTACCTCGCGGTTCACAATCGCGAGTTCAACACTTTTCCACCTGAAAGATTTCTCAAAGTAAGCTAACTCGCGGTTCACAATCACGAGTTCAACACTATTCCACCCCTGTCGCCTGAAACCTGCCAAAATTGAAACTCGCTGTTAGGAAAAGCGAGTTTAATTAAGAACTCGCTGTTAGAAAACGCGAGTTTGATTAATTTTTTTTTTCTTTTGAACTCGCTTTTCACAAGCACGATTTCATTCCACGATGAACTTGCTTTTTGAAAGCACGAGTTTAGCAGAAAGGATTTTTGTTCTGAACTCACTGTTTGTAAGCACAAGTTTATCAAAATTCGCTCTTTGTAACCACGAGTTCATCAAAACCCACATTTCATATTAATTTTTTTTTCTTTCCTTTTGTCTTTATTGTGGGTTAGAATGTGTAATTCAGCGTTTTTTTATTTTGTTTGACTAAAGTAAATTTATTTTGTTTTTTCTTGTGTTTGTTTTGGTTTTTAATTTCAATTTTACTGAACTTTAAAGAAAAAATTTTCGTTCTTTTGTTTATGTTGTCATTGTTTTGGTGATAATATATTTCAGAATAATTTTTTTGGTTAAAATTCTTTTACTAAAACCGTTCTCATATTAATTTTTTTTTTCTTTCCTTTTGCCTTTATTTTGGGTTAGAATGTGTAATTCATCATTTTTTTAATTTTGTTTGACTAAAGTAAATTTATTTTGTTTTTTCTTGTGTTTGTTTTGGATTAGAAGGTAATAATGTAATTCATAAATTTTTTGAGCTTTAGTAAAGCCGTTTTGATGTCAATTTTGTTTTAATTATTATTTCTTTGTTTTGCGTTAGAAGGTGTTATTCAGTAATTTGTTTGGGCTTTAATAAATCTGTTTTCATTTAAATATATATATTTTTTCTTTTGTCTTTATTTTGGGTTAGAAGGTGATAATGTAATTCATAAATTTCTTTTCACTTTACTAAAGCCATTTTCATGTAAAGTTTTTTATTTTTTATTTTTTTCTCTTGTCTTTGTTTTGGGTTAGAATGTGTTATTCAGAAATTAGTTTTGGCTTTACTAAAGCCGTTTTCATTTAAATAATATTTTTTTTTCTGTTGTCTTTGTTTTGGGTTAGAAGCTGATAATGTAATTCATAAATTTCTTCTCGCTTTACCAAAGCCGTTTTCATGTAAACTTTGCTATTTTTTATTTTTTTCTCTTGTTTTTGTTTTGGGTTAAAATGTGTTATTCAGAAATTGGTTTTAGCTTTACTAAAGCCGTTTTCATTTAAATAAAAAAAAAATTTTTCTGTTGTCTTTGTTTTGGGTTAGAAGCTAATAATGTAATTCATAAATTTCTTCTCGCTTTACTAAAGCCGTTTTCATGTAAACTTTGATATTTTTTATTTTTTTCTCTTCTCTTTGTTTTGGGTTAGAATGTATTATTCAGAAATTGGTTTTGGCTTTACTAAAGCCGTTTTCATTTAAATAATATTTTTTTTCTGTTGTCTTTGTTTTGGGTTAGAAGCTGATAATGTAATTCATAAAACCTTGAGGAAAAAACACATAAGTCTCCCACAAAAATACATAAGTAGTACAAACATAAGTCTCGAACTACAATACATTGTGGACACCATGAACTGAACACACAATACATAGATAAACATAACAGTTAGACAGACAAATATTAGCCATACAATCTGACCAACTCATTACGGAAACACTTACTCTAACATAGACATTACATATTAATGCATGACCTAATATTGCCGAAGTGTAGACATTAACACCTAATTCGCGCTTAAATCGGTAGGTGGCTCAGAGTCTGAATAATCCGAAAGCTCAGCGTCAGAGACAAGCTCAGGATCCTCCATGATACCCTTGATAGCCGCATCATTTGGTTCTGTTTTGTTCTTCTGGGCATCCTTCTTAACTATGTATAGCTGCATATCGCGGGCTAACCTACGGTTCATTTGAGAAATCTCACGTTGTAGTCTTTCACATAGTCGATCAACATTATCAGGATCTTCCTTTTGGATCTCAACAGAACGTGCTTTTGGCACCTTCAATCGATTTTCCCGACATAATCTTTCCATTTGGACTCGCTCTATAAATAGTGCGGGCCACTTCAGAAGTCTAGCATTTGCTAAACCATATCCTGTTTGATTATCTGATGGTTCCTCCACCAAACCACATGGATCTCGATAGTACTTGGGCATGACAAAATGTCGCTTCCCAAACCTATCATGATAAGCACAAGAGGCATCTAACGAAGCAAATGGTGTTTCATCTTCAGCATCGCCACTTCCCCTTCCCCCTCCTCGTCGTAAACTGTCACCCCTTTTTATGATTAAGATCATGCTCTTGTGCACATTAAAACAAATTCAACTAAGTTTTAGGTCTGAAAATCTTTT